AGAGTGCTCCCTCGGTTGTGTCTTGCCTTTCCCAGCCGGGCACTGAGGCCCGTGGGTCGCAGGATGAGCCTGTCGAAGAGTGTCCCGAAGGGGAGGTCTCGTTCGGTAACAAACAAGCTGCTATGCAGATGAAACGCCGCCTCGCTAAGCTTACTGCTCATAATGGCAAAGCCCGTAACCGGGCTCTCCATGTTATTGCAGTTGAGCGCTTGCTTGAACGCCCTCATTGTGTGCTCTGTGGTGATGCGCGTCGCAAAGGCCACTGGATGCGCCTTGCACAGTGTGAGTGCTCGGCCCCTGCCAGATCTGCTGAGCGGTCATCCGCGGTGAAGGCAGAAGATGATAGCGCGCATCGGTTGCTACAAAGCCTCGAAGCCGTCATTAAGACCAAGGCCAGTCGGCCTGAGCTGAAACGTGCACTTGATGCCCAAAGACGTCAGAGAGAAGCCTCGGCGCCCCTGGTGCCTTTTCTTGAAGTGCTGCAAATGCCGCGCCGTCGGCAGAATGCTATGTTGCGTAGGCATGGTTATCATACCCCGGCTCAGCAGCGTGCCGCTCGTGCGGAGATTCGTCGGTTAAATCCTTAGGACCCTTGACCTGGGTTTTGTTCTTCGGGTTCCCACCTTGTCGTGCGCTTTTCTACTTCACTTGCAGTGTGCGCTCTGCGCTTTCTCTTTTGCACCTGCCAGTTACCAATTGGTGCTGTCAGATGACACCGCAACAACATAAAGGAATATAAAGGATACTATATGGGTGGTTGTCAAAATTTGGGGTCCCTTTTTGGGTACCTTAAATAGTAGGTGCCGTATTATATTACGGACCCAAAAAGGGACCATAATTTTGACAACCACCCATATAGAATATCCCCAACTGTAAACCAGACCCCGACGCTGGGCCCAAGCTTTCTCTAGTCTCCTTGCATTTTGGGAAGACACGAAGGTCTGTGCACAGGAAGTACTTCCAGTAGAAAACGATGTCGCGATAACCTGAGATGGGCTGGGCTTGGCAGTTTCAGCACTCACAACTGGGACAAGCCTGGCGAGGGTTCAAGTACGACGAGAGCACATTGGCCAGAGTGAGGCAGATTAGGGTCTTTAGGGGACATGGTTGCCATTCGCTGCAACATGCCATCCCCTGCATTCTACCCGTAAAACCTGAACAGTTTCTAGCCAGGAGAACGACATGCGACAACAGAACGAAAAATCGATACCTCTAAGCAGCAAACCCTGAACCCTGCGCAGTGAAGCGGCATTGAAACTCTGGCCACGTGTGGACCTCAGGTGGCAGGTACCAGCGCCTAACGGGGCTAAGAGCTCCCGGGAATGCACAAGTTCCAGAACCTCCGTCCCTAAACGGTAAACCCTAAATCGAACGGCTCTACAGGTCATGTGGGATGAAGGTAGGCAAAATGATCCAAAATCCGAGCCCTAGTAGCAGGGATCCGGAATCCAACCTTTCCAGACTTTCCAAAATCCCCAAAAATTAGGATCCTACTTGAAATCAACATATATCCTTAGTGAAGGGACATCGGAAAGTCTGGGTGTGCTCATCTCACCTTGTAAGGAACTTGGCTTGGATGGGGGAGATCTGAGCCGGCGGCTAAGTAGGGATCGGCACCTGGCCAGCAAGAAAGGGCTAAGGGATTCGCCTGGGGGCCTCCACTCTAAGGACTTTAGGAGGGACCCCTAATAGGGACCCTTACTCCCATTACCTTAAATAACCATTGTATAGTCCTTATTTACCCCTTATGTAGCCAGGTAGTCTCCATATTAACCCCAATAACCTATGGGTCCCTATTAAGGGTTCCTCCTAAAGCCCTTAGACCAACGGGGATCTTGGGTTCACCTGGTTAAAGCCACGAAAGGCAGTCACGAAGCCCTACAAACCTTACAACCTCCACATCCTAACAACTGCCTAAACCCAAAACCCTGATGTAGGGGCCTCAACAAATACCAATACTATTCTGGGGGTTCCTGCTAACTATAGTATACTGGGCCCCAAAACCCGAATAACATTACTAATGCCTCTTGCTTTCTGCACATGGTCTGGCCTGCAGCCAGCTGCGCCCAGTCCCCTCCAGCTTGAAGCAGATGTGTGGCACAAATCGCCTGCGCTTGAGCCGCTTGGGGCTTAGAGGCTAGGTTTAGGGTTTAAGGGTTCCGTTTAGCCTGTTTTAGGCTTCGGGTCCGGCAGGCACTTGCAAAGAGAGAGAGGTAAACCACAACGCAACATCCAAAATCTTGAGCCCAACCTTAAACCCCAAACCTCCCGAACTTCCCGGGAACTTCCCGGGCTACGGCTAGGGCTCTTCAAAACCCTAAACCCTAAAGTTCCGCAGTAGTCTGCGGGGCTTCCCTGCCCATACTTGTGTAGGGTTGAGGGAATTCTCAACTCCAATACCATAAGCATCCATAAACCCTCAAAACCTACCGAAACCCTAATACCAGAAACACTAACCTAAACTCAGTAATAAGTGCAGGCGCTGCACTGCAGCACTTTGCCCAGATCCATCAGCTGCCGCAATGTTTGCGACGGCTGATATGGGACTACCCAAACCCTAAATCCCAAAGACCTCACAGCTAAAACCCCTCGTAAGGGATGTCAGGCGCATCTGAGGCCAATGATTTGCCCAGCCAAGCCTGCACGAACTTCTTCAAGCCTGTCGACGGTGTAGGGGTTGAGGGCTTACGGGTCCTAGGATTAGGGGTTTAGATGTTAGGGGTCCTCGGGCGTGTTTCGGGTTTATGTTTCTGGAGTGCAAAAGAACTGAAGAACGCAGCGAAGCGCGATGCCAGTAAAAAATAGCAGGACTACTGGTGGTGATTACGAGGGTGGTGATTATGATGGTGGTGATGATGATGATGACGATGATGATGATTAAAAGGATGGCGATGACTATTTTGCTGATGATGGCAATGACGTGAGAGACTAGGACAAGGACAACTACACCTTGGATCTGGATGGTGCAGCAGCCATTCACCAGAACGCATCAACAACGTGCGACAGGGCCAGGGGTCACGACTTAGTTCGCTCAACCCGTGCAATCATAAACACCCAATCATCTAAACATCTATGAGATGCTGGCCCGTGTCAGTCCTGCTTCTTTGGAAACCCACATCATCCAGCCATGCTGGTCCCAATCGAAGAGAGTGCGGTCTTTGCCACTTGGAACGTCCAAGCTCTTTTTGACCTGATGGCCATGGCTTTGTGGTTCAGAAGGGTTAGCGTGGAGAGTGGTCGCTCGGTGTAGGAAGCACTCGCACTCGCACACATCCAGGCAAAGCTTCAACTCCTACATGTCTTGGACTTTTAGGGCCCTGCTCCCTAGACTCGGCGGGGTTCAGGATTCGGGCTCTTGTGGCGCAAGGCTGTGAGGCTTCATAGCTAATTACACGAACTGAATTACAGTTTCTATGGATCTTTGTATCCTCAAGCCAGGATTAGGAATTTAGGGCTCAGGGTCAGCAACCTCTATGGTCAGACCACAAGCTGCTTGCCTCGAAATCAATACAGGCTCAGGCCTCCGTGAAGTAGCTGGCCACCGAAGTGCGTGCGACGCTGATCTCGGGCGTCGTGGCCTCTGGCATTTAAAGGCTGAGGCTGTAGGACTGTGGGCTTTGGGTTCTAAAGTTGTAGCGACCTACAGTGCAGGGTTTAGGGTTTAAGGTTCAGGTAGACAAGTGATCAGCAAAGCTTGAGACACGAGAAGTCTGGAACGGCTCCGCCGAGTCTTGGCTTTGGCCAGTAGTGATTGAAAGCCCGACTAAGCCCTTAGTTATCTAGATTCCTAAAACCACCATAAGCCAGCCGAACATACCTTACTCAAACTCCTCCTGAAATCACCGATCGACAGAAAACCTTGGCTGATGTAAGCAAGGTTCTTCAAGTAAGAGTAGTCACGCCTTCTGGCGTGTCCGACCATGTCGTGTGTTTGTATTGCTAGAAATGACCAGCAACAAAGCCAATTGCAAATGAATGGTGAGACCATAACTCACGAGCCATCACCACTAGCAAAAACGACTTGTTTCAGCTTTGAGTGAAAGCAAACGCCAAAAAACACCAACCCCCCCTAAGATTAACCCTAAATCCTAAAGCCTTAACACATAAACCCTAAACCCTAATCCCTAAACCCTAAACCCCTAAACGCTAAACCCTAAACCCTAAACCCTAATCCCTAAAGCACGGAGGGAAAAGGCCTCGATCGTCTCAGACTGCCGCATGAAGGAGGTGGGATCGACAGCCATGGCCTTCCTCGGTCTGCTCGTTGCTACAAGGGGCTCAGGTTTAGGGTTTAGGGTTTAGGGTTTAGGGTCCAATGATTAAAGGAAACTACAGGCGGGGAGTTTCGGGTATATAGGGCTTCTACAAGGCTTGTATAAGGTATATAGACCTTCTATAAGGCTCCGATAACAGTAACTACCCACCTGAAAATGTCTAGAGAGGATCATGAAGGTAAGAACAAGGGTTGCTATGCAGCAACACAAAGCGGATGATGTGCTTTGTAGCTAAGGGTCCCCTTTTCTCGGGTTTAGGGTCTCAGTTCGATTGCATGAGAGCACCACTCCCTGAGCCAAAGCCCGATACCCTGGTAAGATGGACAGACCCACACCCTAAACCCTAACGCCAGAGACAACGGAATTAGGGTCTAGGGATTACGTGAACCCAAAAAACCTACCTGTGCAAAGGACATATACCAGGAAGTCACTGTAAAGAATCTGAAACTGAAGAGGCTCGTTTAAAGGTTAAGATGCACGGACTACAGTATCCTAAACCTTAACTCCTGACCCTTTCAAGCCCTGAATACCTAAACCCTGGACCCTAAAACCTAAACCTTTTTTTCAAACGGCTTGCCCCTTTATAAACCCTATATACCTTTTTTTGTTCAACCGGCCATACCATTTTTTGTTCAACCGGCTTGCCCCTTTCTAAACCCTAAACCCTAAATCCTAAACCCAGTAACCCCAAGCCCGACATCCCATCTCTGCGTGAAGCTTCCAGTTCTTCGCGCCCACACCGTTCAGGAGCTCAGACACAGTGCTGGGATTCGGCTCCGGTTCTGCCTGGCGGGCTAGGGTTTTAGGGTTTAGGGTTCAGGGTTAAGTCTCCTTTTAGTTAAACTTTTAGCATCCTTATTAAAGTTCATATAGAAACCCAAAAAGTTAAAGTCGTAAGAGTCAACCAGAAAAACGCCCAGTAAAGATGGAGCATGGCTAAACCCTATACCAATAGTGATAATAGTAATCATAAGAATAATAATAAGAATGATGATGATAATAATAATAATCATAATAGTAATAGTAATAATAATAATAATAACGCCCATGTTTAAGATAGAGCATGGCTCTGGTTCACGCTGGCCTCTATCGGTCCATCTACTATATACCCTATTATGCACCCTTAAGGGACCCTAGAACCCCCCCTAAGGGCCCATATTAGGGGCCCATACTTCTAACCTTTTAGCATGGCTCTGGTGGGAGTTTCCGAAAATAGGGGACCCTAATATAGTACCCTAAATAGTAGGATCCTTATTATAAGGACCCCAAAATAAGGTATCCCCTATTTCGGAAACTCCCTGGTTCACGCTGCCTCTATCGGCCCATCGCCCTGCGGCTTCGGGATGCCCGGCAGCACCTGAACGGAGCGATTCAAATTCTGAGGACCAAGACAAAACTACATCTTTAGGGTTCTGGGTTTAGGGTTTAGGGGTTTTGGTTTAGGGTTCAGGGGTTTAGGGTTTAGGGGTTTAGGGTTTAGGGGTTTAGGGTTTAGGGTTTAGGGTTGAGGGTTTAGAGTCTATCGGATTAGGCCACATGCCAACCAACAGAACGTGCCAAGCCCATACCTGTAAACCTTGAACCCTGAGCCCCGAAGAAAAAGACAACATGTGAAAATTGTAGAATGACCTTGGCACAAGTAGCGGATTGGACACACAGGCTTTCACCATGCATGGACAACAGCTGTGGCGCGCAGCCTCGACGACGCAAGTACCACTTTACGATTCATGGGTACTAGTAGGTATAATACTTTATGACTACCTCCACCGGGGGCTGTAAATTACGCATAAGCTTTTGCATGCTAAGTTGTAGGTAGACATGCCAGGGTGCTGTGCGGATGCGGAGGACTCGATCGGCGATGGCAGCAATGGCACCTGAAAGACGAGAGTTATGCCAGTTAGCCTGGCATATGACCTCAAACGGATTTAGCAGGCAGGTTCCGGTTTTCGCGTTTAGGGTTTAGGGGTTCGGGTTTAGGGAAAAAACTAAATACCTTCAAACAGACGAAAGGATCATCTTTCTCTGACCTGCCCGATGTCGACCCATGACCCGCATATAGGTGGGGCTGTAATCTTGAAGGTTTAGGGTTTGTACCCTTTTTGGAAACCCCAAACCCTAAACCCTAAGCCACAGTTCAAAAGACCAAGGAGATGAAACCTAAACCCTAAAAAACCTATTTAAAAGCTTCACCCCTAAACCCTAAACCCTCTACCCTATTTAAACAGCCTCAACCCTAACTGGCCTATCCAAGAACCCAAAGCTTCCGTGGCTAGCCTCTACCCATAGGCCTCATAGTAGTTCCTTTTTGGGGTTCATGTTTAGAATCCTATTAAGGTCATCCCAAACAGGAACTACTATGGGGCCTATGGGTAGGTTTAGACCGCGCGGGCTATCTCGTGCGACGGAAATAGGCTAAAGCATAGGTGTTCTTAATAACAAAACATTGGGTCTAGGGTTAGGTCTTAGGGTTTGGACCTTTAGAAGCTCTACCCTGAACCTACACTTTTCTCCAAGTCCCGGATGTCATCTTAAACCCTTCACCCTAAACCCCCAAACCCTAAACCCCAAACCCCTAAACCCTAAAGCCCCAAAGCCCTAAGCCCTAAACCCCCAAAACCCTAAGCCCGCCTGGGAAGATGCTCTCCCAATTACCCAGAGCCTCCAATATCGCTTATAATTAAGGAATATACCTTAAATCATACTAAGGATCCTACTATTTTTTGCACAAGGGACCGCTATAACTTAAGGAATATTCCTTAATTAAGGAATATTGGGGTCTCTGGGTACTTTCGGCCAGGGGGCCCAGCACGACGATCTTCACACCGTCGAATCCCTTCGACTCCTTGCCCCAGGGCTTTTAGGGTTGTGGGTTTAGGGGTTTTGGAGTTTAGGGTTTAGGGGTTTAGAGTTTTAGGGTTTAGGGGTTAGGGTTTAGAGTTTAGGGGTCTAGGGTTTAGGGGTTTAGGGTTATGGGTTTTCGGGACTCAGGAGTTTACTGTAGAGGCCCAACGAGAATAGAGAACTGGATGTGAGAGTATAATATTAATATAACCACAATAAGGAACCCTAGGGAACGATGTTGGGAGCCCTATTGAACCCAGACGCTGCCAATCAGCTGGGAAGCAGCACTTTCCCTAAACCCTAAGCCCTAAACCCCATTACCCAGACCCTCAAAAGGATCTAAAAAATAGAGATCTATTTTTTAGATCCTTTTGGGAGTTTGGGTAGGTTCAGGCTTGCAGCACTGACTCGAGGTTGGGGATGCGCTATAAATGTTTCGTGCTTAAGGCTCGGGGATTTAGGGATTCCGCGCGCCCTGCCTTCAAGGAGCGTAAGGCTCAAGACTGCCTTAAGACCTATACGAGTAGAATTGAGGTGAGGGAGAACGCTAGCGTAGAGTCTCAAATCCCAAAGTCGAGTTCGAACCCAAGCCGTAAACTGTAAGCCTTGAGGCCTTTTTTTCACAAGGGACTTCAAGGCTTACACCTTCAATTCCCTCAACATCTTCCAAAGCCACATAAGACAAACAACCTGACCAGTAAACCCCTAAACCCCAACCCTAACCCTAAACCGCGAAGCCATGTAGTCTATATGCCCTAATCATTAGCCCTAATCAACCCTGAACCCCAAATCCTGAGCATAAACCTCGTTTAGGGCCCCACGGTTTAGGGCTTAGGCCTACCCGCAAAGTAGAAAACAGCAGGCCACGGTAGTTGAAGGTAAGCTCTGGGCAAAGACGCCTTGAGCCCGCAGCTGGCTGAGACGAAGTGTTCGGAGAGGCGGAGCAGCACCTACAGGTTAGGGTTTAGGGTTTAGGGTTTAGGGTTTAGGGTTTAGGGCTTACGGCTTCTAGTCGGTTCATAGCTTGGTTTAATTGTCACGGCTTTGATAGAGCGGCCAGGTTTTCAAAAGTAATTGGTTTCATAGGTGGTGTTGCCGGGATTTTAACTTGATGCAGCTCGTTGTGGGCGAAACGGGTTTGACGGGATTTGCACATGTGTGTTTGGAAAGCTCGCCACAGGGTGGAGAAGCACCCCATAGGATCTGCACAACGAGGCTAGAGGGCATGATACAACGTCATAGGTGTGAAATAGTTTTGTGGGTTGCTTGGGCGTCTTGTTAAATTAGGGAGCTCCAACTAGGCCATTATCATGAGGGTCTGTGGCATTGACTCCGTTTTCCTGCCGCAAAAGCTGATCGTTGCATTTTGTGGGGCGTCAGGGTCTTTAGAATCCCACCGGCTTAGATTAAGTCCTCTAAAGTAGTGTTTTAGTTGAGGGCAGAAGAAAGGGTACATGCGATTTGGGGCTTGGGGCTGCAGTGCCCAGGGTGAAAAGTCAAGGAGTTGCGGTGGTCTTTCGGCTTGTTTTAGTAGCATTCCTTTCCTTTAGAAGGTCCTTTGAGGTCTATAGTGTTACTTTGTTGGAGTTTGCTATGCCTAAATTCAGATGCTGCCACAGGGAGAGAGACCTGAAAGCCCTGCTTGTGCTGAGCTCGGAGGAGACTGGGCACGAGACTGCAACAGGGATCTACAGGGTGCTCGTGGGTTTTGGAAGTGGAAAGGTGCGGGTTTTCAGGAGTTTTGACAAGGTCCTGTTCAGGAGCTTAACTTAACCTCCAAGGGTTTAGGGTTTAGGACCAGAATTTGATACATTATGGATGCAGAGCACATAACCTGTTGCTTCGCCATGATGCTGGCTGAGCCTACTGTTCTGCAAAAAAGGCACAGGAACAATGTTGAGATGCGCCAAGATCCCTAAAATGGTTCTTCAGAGTAAGAGTATCGGCTTTCGGGCTATACTTGTGCTTTCCCGTGTGCCGAAGCTGGGTTTAGGATTTACGGATTACCGGTGGTTCCGATTACCTACTACTTTCAAAAGCTATACCGTGTAATCAAGGGGTCATGACTCATTGTTCTAAGTTGCTAGGGACAGGATGCATGATTGAGACATTCGCCTGCATGAGCTCAAGCTGTCCACCACGCGTCAGCTGCGGATGCAGGCCATCCGATCCATTTGGCGCCCATACCTGGTGCATTCTCAGAAGCTCCTAAACTCCGAATAAGGACTACGACTTACAAAAGATCCCTTCATATTTCAGGTGTATGTGTATGTGTGTGTACATACACGTTGCCTAGTGACCTAGTGAAGCAGAACTGACGTGTTGGAGTCTCTGCGCTACAGGGCTCCTCTCCGAAGATTTCGATAAAGCGGGCCTAAAACTGCTCGAACAAGGATGCGGCCAAATCGCCGTGAAACCACGAGAGTGCAATCGACGTTTCGTAAGGGTTCGTGGCTATCGCAAGCATAGCTGCCATCAGCGAAACCGCCGAAGAATCATTGACAAGGGCGACCGTCGCATCAACCATAAACTAGTTCAACATAAACCCTGCAAGCCCCAAACCTATCCCAAGAAGCAACCCTTCACGGAAACCTTTGTCCTACCACAAGGGCCTGAATCAATAGAATCGGGCTTCTTGGGTGTATTCAAGCACAGGAACAAAGAAGACCCTTACAGCACCCCTTCAAGGAATGCCTAAAAGGAGCCCTTAAAGGAACCCTATGCCCTGGGCTCTCTCTCACAGCCAAGCCACTGGGTCCGTGAGGTTTAGCGGGGCCTTCTCGGCCATGGGTCCCAAGGGCAGCGGAACCAACTCAGTGAAAACGTGCCTCAGTTGAAGAAGTGTTGCTGTAGATCTTTTGTAAGGGCAGTACAGTGGACATTGCCGCATGGCCGCTTTATGGACAGTGAAAGCATGCTTGCTTTCATTTACTTGCTTTTAACTGAATGTCAGGATGACAGGAAGCGAGCAACACAGAGACCGCAAAACACAAGCAACATGGTGCAGGAGATGTGACGAAAGGCAGAAGTAAGCCGACCCAAGTGTCAGACATCGTACGAGGGAACTTCGCGCAAGTGGCAATGATAGCCACGCAGAGTGCGTATTTAGCTTCCCTAAATATGGCAAGAAGTTGAAATCACTTCTTGAATGCAACCTCCTTGACCCTAAACCCTAAACCCTGTCACATCTTCTAGAGCTGCGGAGACCTGACAGCACCGCACAAAGGAGATATGGAAACACCGAATTGTTGCTGATCCGCTGGGGGTGAGCAGTTGGTCCTCCTACCTTCAGATCAAGCTGGTCAACAGGTCTAGGGTTTAGGGCTTAGGTTTTAGGGGTTTAGGGTTTAGGGATACAGTTTTATGTGCAGTTCAGACTACATCAAGCCAAGGCACTGCAACAAAGCCACCCGGAGAAAGTTCGAAAACCTCTCGATGCTGCTGATCCTACTGGGAGCATATACAGATATCTTTTCTTTTCTTTATATCCGCGGTTTAGGGTTTAGGGCCTTGATTATGATTACTATTCATTAATAGTCATTGATTACCAGCAAAGCACAGAGCTTCTGTGGAACTGCTCTTGCGGCTTCACTGTTGCCCTCAGCCCAGGGGATGGCCCTCGAAATAATTTAGGGCTTAGGGCTTGTAAAGGGTTGTGGTTTAGGGTTTAGGGTTTAGGGTTTAGGGTTTAGGGTTTAGGGTTTAGGGTTGGGTTTAGTGGTTTAGGGTTTGGGGTCACCAGCTGGCATCAATCACGCACCCACTCATTGCAAACAGCACCTGCCTCACCTTGCAAACGACATGTTCCTACCGCTTGGCAGCCCAGGAAGCTTGCATCGTTCCTGACCCACGAAGCACAGCTTGGCACACAGCTCCTGTTCGCAGACAGGGGCTGCTCGACTCATCTCCTCCCTCCCTGAACCAAGCACTCCCGAGCTTTATTCCAAACTTCCATACGAAGCTTCGATACTTACTACTCGCCTAAGGAATCGGGAATAGAAAGCATCTATCCTTTTAAGGAGCGGTGTGGTCACTGAGAGGGTGTCTAAAGCGTGAGTTAA